CTATCCCATTTCCTAAATTATGATATCTTTTTTTCAAAGATCACTATTTAGGCAAAAATTTTATACTTTCTCTGTGCTAAAACTAAATAAGAATCATCCTTCTTTCTTGATATCAGTTGGGAATTACATCGAAGTTAGGTATATAATCTTTATGTTTCCTATTTTATCTTTGTATTTATTGTGTAATTTATTGTCATTTTATACCCTCACCTCTTCAATAAGGTATATTTATTAGAAATAATTTTTTGAAAGAAATAATATAACACTTATATCACATTTTAAAATGATTATAAATGTATATTATTATAATGAAATATATATTGCACAAATTATTAAAATGAAATTTTATTTTCCTTCATATTTAAATTATATTGATATAATGAGAATACTTTTTTGTTGTTTTGCTTAACATCGTTATCATTAATTTATTACAAAAATATTTGACTAGTATATTTAAGAAGATGTAAGCATATTGTTATAATCTGGTTTATATAGATATGAAAAATGTAATTAAGTGTTGTTGACTCACCTAATTAGCCATAGCAAAATATAAGTTCCAAAATTTGAACTATACAAAATAAAAAAATGAAAAATATGTTTGTTTATAACCTGATATCTTGATAGGATTTTCAAGTTAGAATGACGAAACTACCTGACTTCTCAGCGTAACAGTTGGTTGATATTTCTACAACCATTGAAAATGTAAAGAGTTTAATGGAGGTCATTTATTAGAGTTTTCAATTATGAAAAAATGCATCAAACTCAAGGTTATGCGTTAAAAATTTTGAGTAAAACAAAAATTATTAAATGAGATTGTGAAGCATCCTTATAATATGATGATGAGGTTGTTAAGAGAGTCTAATTTTATCAGCTCACCCAAATTCTTATTCCTAAATATTAAATCAAAAGAGTATATTTATATCTTTCCAAACTTCGCATGGACCAAAGATATTTATTAACTTTTTTTTCTGTTAGTTAATCTTTTGAAGCCCCATTATTAGTTATTCATGGACTAATATTTCGGAAGTAAAAAGAGATTTCTATTTTAAACTAGAGCAAATTATTTGAAGTTTGGAATAATTCAATTGATCCTAAATGAAATAAATTCTATATCTATAAATAAATATCGAATAAAAAAACAAATAATTTAGTTTTAATATAATTTATTTTTTAGAAGTATGAGATTAGATTATAAAAGTTTAACAATATTGTTGATCTATTTCAAATTTATTTCAAACTAGATTTACTCTCTTCTTACTGATAAATTGAATATAATATGATGTATTATTTAAGTATTGGATCTAATATATATATTAATCTCAGAAATATTAATTTTTTTTAGAATTGGAATACAGAGATGTTTAGGCTATCTTCTATAATTCTATAATTATCCATCAAATCCATACTATACTTTTACTTAAAAATAATTCTTTGATGTTGTCTTAAAAACATTATCCACTTTGTTAAATATATTAAGAAACTTTTCTTTTTCTGCTCTAATCACTTGAATTTCTTTTAATTATTTCTGATAAAACAAAGTTTACAATTTTATTAAATTGTAGCATATCATAAAGGTATTGAATTGTTTATCATTCATTATTTGAGATTTAAACTAATTTAATGCTTTAAATTTGATTTTTAATCTGCTCATTTTCTAAAGAAGATATAAAGCAAAAGCCAAAAAATTAGTTTTCTAGAATTATATTTTTCATTCCTATATATATATGTCTACTAATTTATTTCTGTATCTATTCATAATTCCAAATTAAAATTATTCACCCTTCTAATTTGGATTACTTATAATTAGGAAAAGAAATTCCATATTCATTAAATCATAATTATTCATTTATTTAATAATTCATATGTTAAATATCCTTGACTTTTTTCATCCCAATAGACCAAATATTTTCCATTGTTTGTGATAGTTCCATAAATATCTTCTGAGTCATAATTCAATTAATTAACTATTTTGAACTTCCCATTATTCATCTCTGTAATGATATAAATATAGGTTTTATGTCTTACTACAATTAAATTCCTCTCCTTATTATAAATTATTGGAAAACGATATTCATCATTTATCTAATTATTTGTAATTAATTGAAGTGTTTTCTCCTAATTTTCTTAAAAGAAGCCTTCTTTTAATTCAAATACATAGAGTTTATCTATTTATTTACTACCAGTTATCCAAATAAATTAGTTATCTTTAATAAATTTAATCTTATGTCCTTCTTCTTAAATTGACTGTGTAACAAAATGTTTGAATTCGAACTTATTTAATTCTCTTCTTTCCCAAATTATAATCTAATTCTTATTATCTGCGCATGATACTAATTATGTTTCGGTTTAATTTAAACTTAATGCCATAACATATCTATCATGTTTATCTAATGAATAAATGTATGTCAATCTATTTTTATTAACATCAA